TGTTCTTGTGAAGAGATTGCATCTCTTCCTCCATAGCAACCAACCAACTCTCTCTATCTTTGTCTTTGATAGCTTGCTTGAAGGTGACCGACTCATCATCTCAACTAAGAGTGCATATTCCACCAAGTTAACCTGCCCATAATGCCTCAGAGGTTTGTTTGACCCAAACTTCTGAACTAGTTTATAATTTCTCTTAGGCCTAGTGGCATCCAAAGATTCTTGCTGCTGTTGTTAACACATGTGTATTTTCTTGGTGAACCTCCTCATGATCACATTCATCCTCTTCCTCATCTTCACAGGCGATAGGATTCTCCACCTGACCACAACTAGAATCTGGTTGGTCTTTAGATTCTATCTCAATAACTTGCTTATTTGATATCGTCACATCACCATCTCTAGGCACCATAGATTTTTCATCAAAGGTAACATCCCTGCTAATCACAAACTTAGAATCTTCTACACTCCAAAGGCGATAGCCTTTGACCCCTGTTGCATATCCTAGAAAGATAACTTTCTTGGCTCTATTATCAAGTTTGTTTTCTTTGACGTGATAATAAGTCGTGCGTCTGAATATTTTTAGTCTTTCATAATCAGCATGCTCACCTGATCACACCCTATAGGGTGTGTCTCCACCTAAACTAGAATGTGGGGATCTCTTTACAACATAACAAGCTGCAACTACCGACTCTGCCCACCATTCTCGACCTAACCCTGAATTAGAGCGCATACACCTTGCTTTCTCAAGAAGTGTACAATTCAGTCTTTCTGCGACCCCATTCTGTTGTGGTGTGCCTTTGACCGTCCAGTGTCTAACAATGCCTTCCTAATTACAAAACCTCTTGAAAGCTCCATCCGTATACTCTGTACCATTATCCAATCGCAGAGTTTTCAGCCTTCTACCCGTTCTGTTCTCAACCATTGCTTTCCAACACTTGAAAATATCAAATACCTCATTCTTATGCTTAAGAAAATAAATCCAAGCATACCTTGAATGATCATCAACATATGTAACAAAATACCTGGAACCACCCTTAGAAGTAACCGGAGCCGGACCCTAAACGTCAGTATGCATGTAGTTTAATATTCCCCTGCTTTTATGCTTGCTTATAGAAAACCGCAACCTATGTGCTTTGCCATACACACAATGTTCACAAAATTCCATGCATGGCTTTTCCATATTCTTCAGCAAACCTTTCTCACCAAGCAATGATAGACCCTTTTCAGACATATGCCTAAGGCGCATGTGCCACATCCTCGTACATTCAATCTGGTCTTTACTTCTGTTGATTCCAACTGCCAAATCACCTGTGACAGTTTCCCCCATAAGAGGATAAAGATTCCTGTGACGAACCCCCTTCATCACAACCAACAAACCACGAACAACCTTTAAGACTCCATTTTCCAAGATTATTTTGCAACCATTTTCCTATAATACACCAAGAGAAATAAGTTTTTTCCATAAATTAGGGACATGTCTCACGTTCTTCAAAGTTCTTACCGCTTCATCATGCATCTTGATTCGTATTATACTATACCCCATGATTTTACATACATGGTTATTCCCCATTAAAACTGTACCACCATTTGTGCTTTCGTAGGTAGTAAACCACTTCCTATTTGGGCACATATGGTGTGAAGCTCCTGAATCAAGCATCCATCTCCTGGAGATATCATGGTCTTGCTCTGAAACCGAGAAGCAATCATCCTCGCCATTTGAGACATAACTCGCCTCCTGCAAATCTTGTTGTTTATCTCTGGAGTTGTTTTCGTTGTTGGTATACTTCTTAAATAATACCCTATTATTTGGACAATTTGCTTTAAAGTGCCCAAGTTCACCACATTTAAAGCACGCCTTATCCACAAGAGCTCTAGATTTTGATCTAGACTTCCTTCCCCTGCCTTGTCCTCTTTCATTTGTCCTCCCTCTAGTAACAAATAATTCCTGAGCTTGTTCTCTTCCACTTCTACTAGACATCCCACTTGTAGAAACCTTACGAAGATCATTTGCCAAAAGTGATGTTCTAGTTTCATCCATGGTTAGAGTATCACCCACAAGCATCAATGTTTGGACTAGATTTTCATAGGACTCTGGTAATGAAAGCAGTAACAATAATGCTTGGTCTTCTTCATCAATATTCACTTCTACATCCTTCAAGTCTGATATAATCCTATCAAACTTGTTGACATACTCCCGGATTGAGGTGCCTTCCTCCATCTTGCAAGTATACAATTTGGACTTTAAGTAGATCTGATTTGTTAGAGTTTTCGTCATGAAATTACTCTCTAACTTTGACCACACGCCAGCAACCGTTGCTTCTTCATTAACCAAGAATGCAACATCCCTCTCAAGGCATAAGATTATGGCCGCTCGTGCTTCAAGATCTAACTCCTCCCAATCCTCATCCTTTATACTCACAGGTTTTTGTTCTTTCTTCGCTAACGCCTTATGCAACTTTTGTAATATAAGCAGATTTTTCATCTGCATCCTCCAATAAGAAAAATCATTTTTTCCATTGAACTTCTCTATCTCATATTTCCCAACCTTGACGGTTCCACCAGTAGAAGCCATTATAGGCTCTGATGCCAATTGTTAGAGTCACAGCGGAATTTATAGCTTCTAATAATGATATGAAATATCACCCTCACTAAAATTGAATATGAAATGTAGCTAGAACAATAAAATATCTAAATAAGAAAGATTGAATTTATAAGAGAAAACTACTTTGTATATATGTTGTTATTCTTATGTTGTTGTTATTAGACAAACATAAGCTTACATTTATATAGTAACTCATGTACTATAACGTGAATGATCTACATTTCATACAAATATCAACCTTTGTCTTCCTATTATTACTCATTATGTTGAATGGAGTATGTTGCATTTACCACACTCAATGTTTTCATATTTAGCTTTGCTAAATATTCCCTTATTCCCACATTGGATAATGCTCATCCTATGTTCACTAGAGCCAAAACTTAACATTCTAAACCCATGGTCTTTCTTGCTCAAACACACACAGAACCTACCAGTTACAAACATGCCCTATCCATACCTGAATGGGCTAAATCTATGCAAAATGAGTATGATGCTCTCATTGCTAATGACAATTGGACTCTCACTGCCTTACTTTCTAACAGAAAACCAATTGGCTGCAGATGGATTTTCAAAGTGAAATAAAATACAGATGGAAGCATACTTAAACATAAAGCCAGGTGGGTAGCTAAGGGTTATCATCAAGAGCAAGGATTCGATTTCAATGAAACATTTTCTCCAGTGGTCAAACCAACAACAATCAAAATTATTCTAACTCTTGCTATCACCTATAAGTGGGAGATTCAACAGGTAGATGTCAATAATGCATTCTTAAATGGAATTCTCCAAGAGGAAGTGTATATGTCTCAGCCACCTGGGTTTATCAATGCTGACAAAAAAACTAGTATGCAAAAAACTCAATAAGGTAATCTATGGTCTTAAGTAGGCCCCTCGAGCATGGTATGAAAAACTCACTCACACTCTTCTTTAATTTGGATTTGTCTCGTCCAGGTGTGATCACTCCCTATTTGTGTATTTTCATCAAGGATTTTCTCTTAATGTTCTTGTTTATGTTGACGATATTTTGATCACAGGGTCTAGCTCCACGTCAATTCACAAACTTATCATCAAGATACATGATGAGTTTGCTCTGAAAAAGCTAGGAAAATTGTCTTATTTTCTGGGAATAAAGGTTCATCATCAGTCCAATGACTCTCTACTCTTGACTCAATCCAAATATATATCAAAGACCGGTTGATAAGAGCTAACATGCCAAATGCCAATGGAGTCCCCACCCTAATGCTCAACACTTGTAAACTCAGTAAACACATCTCAGCACCCTTGATGAATCTGTCTTAATACCGTTCTATTGTTGGTGTACTACGGTATGTATCCTTGATAAGGCCTGACATTGCCTTTAGTGTGAACAAGGCATGTCAGTTTATGGCAACACCTCTTGAGGCACATTGGTCAATTGTTCGACGAATACTACGATATCTTAGTGGCACTCTATCTCATGGTTTGTTGTTGTCTCCCTCTGTCTCAGACCATAAATTCTCTCTTAGAGCTTATAGTGATTTAGATTGGGCGAGTGATTCGGGCGATATGAGGTCAACATCAGGAACTTGTATTTTCTTTGGGCCTAATCTAATCTCGTGGAGTTCCAAAAAGCAATCCTTGGTAGCTCGGTCAAGTGCTGAAGTGAAACATCGTACGTTGACTCACTCCACTTCAAAGCTATTATGAATTGAATCTCTCTTCAATGAGCTTGATATCTCATTTCACACTCCAACTCTGTTGTGTGACAACATGAGTGAAGTGTTAATGTCTCAAGATCCAGTTCTACACGCGTGGACTAAACACATCGAGCTAGATATTTATTTTGTGCGTGAGCGGATGGTGTCCAAGAAATTGCAGATTCAGCATGTTCCTACACTATTTAAATTGTTGACACATTGACAAAGTCCTTAGGGACTGCGTCTTTCTAGGATTTACGAAACAAACTCAAAGTCGCATGCTTCCACCCACCTTAAGCTTGCAGGGGGTTGTTAGAGATATTGATTGATATCTCAACACTTATAGAATAGAAATTGTCGTGCCTTAGGTTTATTATTTCAAGTGTATAGTACTAAGGCATTACTTGTATAGTGTAGTTTCAATAGTCATGCTTGTATGAGTTGTTACAACTTGTTATGTGCGACAACTGATAAAAATAGAGTGTACCACTCTGCTACAGAACTAATGAAAACAATACACTATTCTTTTCTTCTTCATCTTTGAACACTGCAAACATTACAGAAAATGAATTCTACTCAAATGCGACAAATATACTTCATAGTTTTTTTTTGGGTAGTATAATACAATTTAATTAAGGATGTTGAGAGAGATAGAGAAAGATAATTGTATTTGAATGTGTTTGAACATCTCAACAAAAGCATCTGTGCCTTACATCGTGAAATCAAGATCAAGCATGTGTGAAACCCCACAACTGCACATATTAACAATAATAAGTTTATATAGATTAATCACTTATTTATTACTTGATATATATAAGTAAACGGTATGAAAATTACCTCAACATTCTTTAATTCAAACTCTGGAGAATGAGCCAAACATCGATTTCCAAATGTTTCACAGGGTCCACTAGTTCCAGTTAACCTTTTCAAAGTACATTCAAGAAAAGTTATTATTTAATTTTACTAGTGGCACTTAAAAAATGTTACTATTAAAATACTTACAAATCTCCATCTAAACGTAAAGCAAAACCATCACCACCACCACCAAGTGCAAGTGAGTCATTAGAACATAAATAATAGTATCTATTGACACCTGCAATTAAAAATATAAAATTACCACATTTAATAAAAAATCAAAAGGAAAAAGTTTTTGCAACAATCACTTATTTTCCCTTAGTCTTTTGCACAATAATCAATTAAAACATTACCTGTAGGTCGAAAAACCCTTGGATGACCATATATATTTGTAAACACAAAAGTTTGGTGTGTTCCCTGTTACCAACAAATAAAACAACAATCATATATATATATTTCAATATATACAAATTATATCTGCAAAAAAAAAAATAATATTATAAAATAAAAATTAATATACTTGATATTTAGGCTTTGTTGTTGGTATTAAGGGGCAGTCAAGCAATGCACCAAACACAGCTCCTTCCATATCTCCAGCAACCTGTATTTAAAAATATATATTTACAATATTAAATAAATAATTTCAAATATATATATATATATATATATATATATATATATATATATATATATATATATATATATATATATATATATATATATATATATATATATATATATATATATATATATATATATATATATATATATATATATATATATATATATATATAACAAAATTATATTTATTTAACATACCAGCAAAGCAGGAGTATTAAGTCGAGCAGTCTTGCGAATCATTGTGCGAAGTGATATTCCATGTTTCAAAGTACTGCAAAATATTCAAACAAATGAATTTTAAATTAATAACATTTTATTGAAAAAAAAATTATTCAATGCACAAAAATATAAAAATAAATTACCTATAAAGTAAGACTTTTTTACACCCTTGTAATAATTTTGGAAGACATGATTCAAAAAAATCATTCAACTCAAGAGAAATAAAGCAAGAATCATCAATGAGCTTAAGTGGAGAACACTTCTCATCAACATTTTCTTCTTCAAAATCTTCAATTTCATTTTTCAATAAATTCATGTTATTATAATCAACATGTTTCGTTAATACACTATCTTCCCAGCAAATTTGTTGATATTTGAATCTAGCAAAAGCTGATTTCAGATAGTTTTTCTTGGATGCACCAAAGTTAAACAAAGAAATTATATCAGATAAGCATGAAAACAATGATGCTCCATCTTTGAGGTTTGGTCCAACCTACACAAATAAAATCAATGAGTCAAAGAAAAAAAATAAAAAAAAATAAAAAAAAGTCAATAAAATTCCAAAAATATAATATTTAAAAATTCACCTTTTCACAAAATACTAGAAATATAAAAATAAATTGAAAAATTAATGATGATTTATAAATTAAATAGTACAAATAAAACTTTATTATTATAATTATCAGATTTAACTTCTCTAAAAATATTAAATTAAACAAATTAATCTAACGAGTTTCAAATTACTTTCGAAGTTGTACATTCTATTTTTTTGTTATTTTTTTCTTATGTTAAAAAAGAAAAAACATTACCTTGGGAGAGGAGTTGTAAGAATTATGGAAGACCTGAAAAAACTTCTGAACTTTCAAATTATACATATTTTATTGAAATTGAAATGAGTTTTACTTGGTTCACAATGGATTTGATTTTGAAAATATAAATTAAGAATAATGTTATAATGGTTAAAAAGTAGAGAAAGAAGCAATTATATATATATGTATACAATTGCATTTATCTAAAAACAATCGATAAAGAGATAAGAACATAGAAAATCATATTTGTAATTATAAGGTAAATGATTTTTTGTGTGTGATAAAATTATAAGATATATTGTGATAAGAGGTAAGATGTGTAAGAATTCAGAAAATAATAGTAGTTATACTCATCAAAATTTTATTAATTTTTTCTACAATATTATTTATTTAACTTATTCCTTCTATTGCCAAAACATTTAAGGTAACATATCTCAAAAATATAATTGTTATAAACTTTTCAATACAATGAATAAAGAAAATTTTATATGTGAGTATATATGTATATTTTCATTATTGTTTTTAACTTGTCGAGACATGAAAAATAGGAGTTATTATAAAAAAGGAAAAAATAGGAAAGGGAAAAATAATCTCTCTCTCTTTTCTTTTCTTTTTGTTGTTGTGAGAATTGACTTTAAATAAATTATTTATTATTATTATTTCTTATTTCTTATATACATAATCTATTATTATTGTTATCGTGTGAAATAATATATCAAATTTCAATCAATTTAAAATTATCTCATTTAAATATATATATTTTTAAATATATATAATACATAAGGATTTGTAAAGAAGAAAAAATATGAAGAGTCGAATTTGAATACAATTTTATATAAATTGCTCTCATAAAATACATCATGCTTTGATAGTATTTTAAAAGAATTTAATTTATATGCACTGACAGACACAGTTAATCATAACCGCTGATTTATGTGAAATCTTTGACTTTTATTTTAACCACTTGAAAAGTAATACTAACGGATGATTGTGAATGATTGTGATGCATTGACAGGGTAAAACTTTTTACACTAATAATACATACCAATTAATCTCATTTTAAAATATATTTTTTTTATTTGTTTAATTTTTTTTTTTGTTATAGAAAAAATTAAGTGAGTTGATAATATATTTTAATATTCAATGGACTTTTTGTTGAGAAAAATAAAGTTTTGGATGAGTGTATGATGTATCTTTTACAATGTGTGTTGTTTATAAAAAAATATCGCAACGAAAAATACTCCCTCGCGTTAAACCCCTGAATTAATGACCTAACACTTTTTTTTTTGAATCAAAAAAGAACTCTGTATTAATTCAAAAAATCGAAGACAAAAGAATGTGATCCTGAAGGATCCAGCCCATCAAAAGAAAACCAAAACAAACAAGAAACCAAAACCTATATCATCAGTAAGGCTATGTGAGGTCTAAGTCTCTCACAAAACCAACCTCTTTAAACAATCATGTCTATAATATTTTCACGATATTATTGTTATCTACATTGTTTCCAAAACACTTATCGTTCCTATATCTCCAAATACCATATATGGTTTATGTTACTGCCAATTTGAGGATAGAAGCTCTGCACCCTTTACCCGAACCACGAGATATAATCCACTTCAATTCCTCATGCCATTTCAAAGGAACATGATCCACATTGATCCATTGAAGGATGCTACTCTAGATGGTTTTAGTTTCAAAACAATAAAACAATATGTAATCATAATTTCAACTTGGGGGCAGAAACTACACTTATCACTAGCCATCAAACCCATTTTACACAATTTAGCCTTGGTAGGAAGTCTACCATGACAGACCTGACATAAAGTTATCACCGCCCTAGGCCTCGCAACATTACCGTAAATCAATATATGCCAACTAACTGTCTCTTCGCCCATGAACCTAAGCTATAAATATACTTTTTTTGAAGAAAAATTATTACTGAATAACAACCGCTGCCAAAGATTTTGAATATCAAGAAGAAACCTCAAATGATGAAGGACCATTTTCATGATCCAAGAAAAGTTAGCAGTAGCAACTACGTCCATGGAATCCAACCCCTTAAAATAATACGTATGAACCCATTTCACCCACAAATTATCAGCTTTCCTACAGAGATTCCATAAAAGTTTAAGTATTGTCGTGTTATTCCAAGTATACAATTCTATAATGTTAAGACCCTCATGTTTCTTAGGCCTACACACATCTTTCCAAGCTACAACGCTTTTCCTATTCACCTCTGACTTTCCACTCCACATGAACGATCTCAAGATAGCTTCAATCTTATGAATCACGAATTTGGGGATCGGTAACCATTGCATCCAATAATTTGCAACAACAAACGAGGCAAAATTTGTAAGTTGCGCTCTCCCAGCATAGCTGAGGAGTTTACTGCTCCAATGTCTAAATTTTCCCACCACTTTATCAACGAGAATCATATAATGTTGAATATTAAGCTTCTTACTAGACATTGGCAACCCCAAGTCTCTAAAAAGAAGGGGTTCTACATCAAAAGTAGTCATGTCGAGTATTTGATTCCTAGTCACGTCATCTACACCACCAAAGTATACCTTACACTTCCTAGGATTAACAACCAGGTCAGTGGACATAGAGAAAATATCTAGAGCTTCCATCATCAACTCAATAGATTTACAATCCCCCTTAGAGAAGAGAAGAACATCATCTGCAAATGCCAAATTGGTGATCTTAAGTTTTTCACACTTTGAGTGATTATTGAAATCAAGATTTTGCGTCATCTTGAATAAGAGTCTATTAAGGTATTCCATCAAGATAACAAATAGAAGAGGGGGCAGTGGATCCCCCTGTCTGATACCTCTTCGAGCCTATAAAATAGAGGAAAATGATCCATTGATATTGTACCTGTAAGATACAATAGTGACTGTAATCATGATCAGTGTATGAATTGAGCAGGCAAACTAACTTCCTTCAGGATAAATTCAAGTGCACTACAATCAACCATATCATAGGCCTTTTGTAAATCAAGTTGGATCATGCATCTTGGATCCCTCGCATTTCGTGAGTAACCTTTGATAAGCTCATATGCAAGAAGAATATGATTGTGAATTTGTTGCCCAGGGATGAAGGCAGCCTAGCAAGGACCAATGATAATGCTAACCACTTTACCAAGTCTGGCAGTCAATTTTTTTGAAATGATCTTGTACACTGCGGTGCAACCTGCTATAGGTTAAAAGTCCTTTATTAAAGTAGCTCCATCAATCTTAGGAATGAGAGTAACAACAATACAATTGATGGCTTTGTAGAATCTACCATGGATGAAGAAATCTTACACAACTGCTACAATATCACTCTTTACCACGTACCAACTGGCCTTAAAAAATTTAGCTCCAAAGCCATCCAAACCAGGGGATTTTATATCACCAATTCCATTTAAAGCTACAAGAATTTCATTCTCAGTGACTGGAGAGATAAGGCTAGATCTTTAGGCAGCATTCAGATGACTGCCTAGTCTCATAGCATATACATCCACATGAGAGAGGTTGTCTTCATGATGCCCCATCAACTTGCCATAATAATCCAAAACAATGCCTTCAATCTCCTTTTGATTAGTTACAAGTGTGCCATCAGAAGTAGTTTGTGAGTTTATGCAATTAACACTCTTCTTTATCTTGAGGGAAGCATGGAAATAGGAACTATTTCCATCTGCCAACTTCAACCAATCAATCTTGGATAATTGTCTTAGAACTTTTTCATCTAATTCTTGATGTTTGATAAGGTTCTCAGTTAGTTGCTAGACATACATAATTTTGTAACTATTCATTCTATCAATCACCAAGTCTTATTGAAATTTATGAAGGGCATCCCTAGTTTTGACAATATCCTGATGAATACGCAAAAAAGGTCTACTCAATTGCTTCAGGTCTGGTTGGAGCCTTTTCAGTTTTTCCCATAGAACAAACATAGGCCGACCCTCCATTGGTTTATTCCAAATGTTGGCTACTGTCACATTATAGCCCTCAACCTCCACTACACAATTGATGAATTTAAAATTCCTCTTTTGTTTTGTAACAGTCTGTCCCCTTAGCAAAATAAGAGAATGGTCATAAACTTTTGGTGGCAGGTTTGTGAGAGTAATATCCAAATGATTTTGAAACCATTCTACATTTCCCAAAACCCTGTCAATTCTAGAATATATAGCCTCATCAGCATGTTTATTTGACTAGGCAAAGTAATCCCCACTACTGTCCATTTCAAACAGCCTTGTGTTTGTCATCATAGTAGTTAGATCAATATATTCATTTTTTGTTACCATTATACCTCTAATCTGATCCTGAATGTTAGTGACATTATTGAAATCACCAAGAAGGCACCAAGGGCCATGTTGGTTTTTGTTGGGAAATGCCTGCATAATTTCCCTCCTCTGTGAACTCAAAATAGGCACTTTGCGGAAACGTGAAATAGAAGCGTAATGACACAAAGAGAATTTTAGCGTGGAAAACCTTCTCAATATGAGGAAGGGAAAAAAACCACGGGACCCTTGGGCCTCTTAAAACATCCACTATAATGATAATGGGAATACAACAACTTCACCCTTAGGTGGATCTCACTACAAAGTATCTCTCAATTTGTAGAAAACACTCTCACAAATTGGCTCATTATTTCTCTCACAAGAAACTCTCTATGAGGATTTTCTCTCTTGAACAAGGCTCTCTTTCTCTCTTGCTACTTGTTGTTCTTCTCTTGTTGTGTGTTGTGAAGGCTTGCTTATGATCCTATTTATAGGAGAGGCAAGCCAAAGTTGCCTTACATGCATGAAGACACTTGTCATTTTCCTTTCATGCAAAACACCAAGTGTCCCTTGCAATACATGCACCACACCAAGTGTTACTCATGCATCACAACATGTGTTACTCATGCACCACAACATGTGTACAACATACACCTTGTTACTTGTCATCACATGCAACCTTCCATTTTGACAAATGTATGGTGGCCATGTGGCAATGGCTGGACCCCACATTTCTCCCCCTCCAGCCATAGGGGAATGCCTTGATTAGTTTGGGGTTGCCGCCAATCCAGCAGCTTGTTTG